TAGTTGAGCTGATGTGGCCTCCTCTTGTAAAACCGACTAACTGCCTTCTGTTGGTCTGTTCCAACAGTCTTGACAATCCAATTGGATGGCAGTTGTTACAAGTGGATGGCAGTTATTACAAGTGGCTGGTTAGTTGAGCTGATGTGGCGGCCTCTTGTAAAACTGACTAACTGCCTTCTGTTGGTCTGTTCCAACAGTCTTGACAGATTTCAGCATTTGCAAGTAGAGGGGGATTCAGAGCTGATAATTTCTTGGGCCAGAAGCAAGCAGCTTGTGCCATGGATCTATAGGCATGAATGTAGGGAAATAGAGAGCATCACACAGGAGCTGAACATAACTTTCAAGTGGATTAATAGGACAGCAAATGGAATGGCCGACACTCTTGCAAAGCAAGGGGTATATAGGCAGCAGCTGTTTTGGGCACCATTGTAAATCTTGTATCTGTGCTGGGATTGGAATGAATCTTTATGGGTGAATACACCTTGTCCTTGTAATATCAAGATTATCATTTTAATTTAATCCAATTTTCTTGCTGATAAAAAAAGTCCCATTAAATGCAAATAAATATTTAGATAAGATGGTGTTTAGGACATGAGGTTTTCCATTATTGGAAAATAAAACAAACATTAAATGTATTTCTTATTTCATTAATTTCTCCTTGAAATCATATGCTGTGGTTACTGTCCATGAAAATATCTAACCCTTTTGTACCTAGACAGATAAACATGTTTCCTACTATTTTTTCTGTGTAATCCGCCCTTTTTCAAAACAGCATACCAGTGGCATCTTTTGTAAATTCTTTTGCCTGTATCAAAGTAATTGCTTCACACTAACAACACTTGTCTTTTTCTTACTTTTTTTTTATTGTCTTTTTGCTACAATTTTCTTTTCCATTTTTTCCTTGTATAATAATTTGCATATAGTCCATGTAAGGTAAAGTTGTGTTTCCTGTGCAGGATGGAGCAGGTCGAGTTGGAAAAATGATTTTTGCACGGCAAGGAAAGAAATTTGACTATGATCTGAAACAGGTAAAATTGAAAAAAACATTTTCAAGATCATTTTTCATTCAACTTTGTTTTTCCACCTTGATATGCTTGAGTTGCTGACAAGTTGAAAGTGTTTCAGCTTCGATTTGCTGGTGATCTTTTAATGGAGATAGGTGCTGGAGTAGAGTTGGCAACTGCTGCTGTCCCACACCTCTTCCTACCATTGGCTTGTGCTGCCAATGTGGTCAAGGTTACACGCTTCATTGTACCATTCATATATGTTCATTTAAGAAACTATGCATCCTTGCAGCCTTATTTATTTCTCTTTTTTAATTGCAGAATGTTGCTGCTGTAACATCAACATCAACTCGTACTCCAATTTATAAAGCCTTTGCTAGAGGAGAAAACATTGGGGATGTTACTGCTAAAGGAGAATGTGTAGGCAATATTGCAGATCTGGTATGGTTTCTCAACTATTCTTCTTCCTTTCCAAGTCTTGTTTTCTGTAAGCAATTTTGCAAAAATCTAGTTCAATCCTTTCCCTTTGGATGTTCATGTTGATAACTGTTAACAGTTGACTAAACGGGGGTGTTTAGGACATTACATTATGTTTTTACTTTATGTTATTCTATTCTGTCCTATCTTTAGTTGGTTGTTTCATAGTTTATCAGAGGCACAATTTGTCTTTGTATTTTATTGGCAATCTAGAAATATCAGCCGAGTGGGACAAGAGAGATTAATTGATCCCAATTGGTCTCTTATTCTTTCTCCTTCTCTGCTTCTTCTTTCTCTTCTTTCTTTTGCTGTTTCCTTTATTTTTTGTGCACGATACAATGGTATCAGAACAACTAAAAGGCTGCAATAACTAAATAAGGCTGCAATCTCTCTTATTGTTCCCTCTCTCTCCTTTTATTTTCTGTTTTTTGTTTTGTTTGAGAAAACTAGCCAGAAGGGGGTTGCATTCTCACATTTTTTTTTTCTTTTCTGATTTGATAGTTGTCACTGTGGTGATAGTTACCAAAAGGGATGATGGTGCTGTGATGAACTTGGAATTCTGCAGTAGGTTAATTTCTGTTTTACCTGCTTGTGTTTCATGTGGTGCTAGTTGAACAGCCCTCGTTTATTGATGGAGAAGAGAGTAAATGAATTGCAACTCAGTTGATGTGTTTAGAATGCATTTGCAATGCTGTTTTCAGTTTAAGAGGAGTTTTGGTGGTTTCTCTTATGTTCTTTCTTGATTCAAGGCCACTAGTTGTGTAGTGTGTAGCCTGTAGAAGTAGGACACTGTAGCATCCCCTCCAGAACTGGTAGTGGTGATCAAAAGCCAGAACTGTGAGTGTTAAGCAGATTGAAGCTGGGTTTGCTTGGGCTGGAGCTACTAAGAAGATAAAGAAAACTAAAAAACAGAAAGTGAAGTTTCATTTTTTAGGAATTGAGTACATGGGTCCTCCATGGGGGTTGAGTTGTGGTTTCTGGGTTTGCTTGTGATTGGGATTTTGGGTAGAGATGGCAATTTGCCCCATTCCCGTGGGGCTCCACCTAGCCCCACCTCGGTTGGAGTGGGTTTTTTGACAATTGATCAGGGTTTGGGGAAACCCAGAACTCTGGGGATCGGGGACGGGGTGGGGATGGTATTTGTCTTCCCAGCCCTGATCCCGTCCCGACTATATTATGTTACAGAATATATATATATATATATATTAATTTATTATATATTATATTGTATATTATAATATAGTTCTAGGTAGCTTTCAAAAAAGTAAAAATAAATTGCAAGTATGCAACTAGGAATGACCGGGGCGGGGCAGGGAAAATTTGGGGATCCCCATTCCCTGCGGGGACGGGGATGGGGTTGGGATTTCTAGCCCTGGTGGGGTTTGGGGTGGGGCATTTGAGTTCGGGGTCAGGGATGGGTAATGCAAAACCTGGCCCTACACCTTGTTGCCATTCCTAATTTTGGGAGGGGATGTGGAGCTTTTGTTCTTTTTCTTGGGAGCCTTTTGTTTGGTTGGGTTTCTTTGGTTGGAGTAGTTGTGGTGTTTTCTTGTAATTATTTGTGTTGGTTGGGTGCAGCTTTGGGGTTTGCTTTCTGTTTGGTTGTTGGGTTTCATGGAGTTCAGCTTCTTGTTGGTTTGAGAGTTGTTTATTGGGTGATGCTTCATCACTGTCTTTTGTAATCTTGCTCTTTTCTTAATAAATTTTCTTTTTATTTATCTTCAAAAAAAATTATGGTGCAGATGACATCTATTAAGTTCAATGGGGAAAATTTTATGCCTTGGGTAAAGTCAGTTGAGGTGTTTTTGAAAGTCAAAAGGTAAACTTGAGTATTTGAAGGATGATAGACCTTCGGCTAGTTTGGGCAGGTATAGTGAATGGGAGCAAGAGAATGCTAAAATAAATTGGCTATGGAATAGTATGGGACCTAAGATAAGTGTCAATCTTATGTTATACACTGCAAAAGAGGTATGGAAGCATGTTCAGAGGCTGTATTTAGGTTAGGACAATATTACAAGGGTGTCCAGCTCTTCTAAGAGTACTTCACCATACAACAAGACAATTGAAGAGTATTATGTAAGTATGAGACCCTGACATTAAAATTCAGAAACAATAGAGGGAATATCTTGATGGGACTTGGTTTCTCTTAGTTAGGATATGAACTTGTTCATGTACAACTTAGACCTCCCTTCTCTTGAAGAGGTGTTTGCTCGGCTTTTTAGGGGTTACTGTAGGATCTATAGGTACAATTACTAATCGACAGATCTTCTGGTTATGTGTCTAGAGTAGGTGAAAGAAGTGTATTAGGTACACCTTCTGGCTTGGAGGTGATGTTGGAGATCAAGAGTTGAGGAGAGGACATGGTGGTCCTTGGAAGTGCACTTATTGTGGATGGGAAGGCCATTCCATAAAGAAATGTGTGGTTAAGTTTTCCCATGGAATAACTTTGCAGTCCTTACACATCATTTGTTCTATTTGATTTATGTTCGATCTACTTTTAAATGCTATTAAGTGTTAATCCCTCTTTTTGAAACATGTGTTTATTATTACCATATTGTTGCAAATTCTAAAATTGTATCTCTTATTTCATTCCTCTCCTCAAACCCAAATCATCCATATACCATTATCATATCCTGCACTTCTTTTCCTCACATGCCCATTCTACAAAAATTTTATCATCATTTGGAATTACTTGGATTAATCCTCTTAGTTTTCTTAAAATTGTCTTTTAATGTTTTCTTCTAAACCCTCTTGTGGTGCATAAGTGCTAATTATTTGAATGATTTCTTCACCTAAAACAAGTCTAATTAAAATTATTCTATCACCATTTTTCTTAACATTAACAATGATCTTTATCTACTATTATCACTGCTCCATTTCTATTATTATTTCTTCTATGAACTATAGTTTGTAGCCATCAACGTCTTTAGCTTTTTCCTCTTTCATTTATGCTATGTTTGGTTCCGTGGGCATTTATTGGAAAAACACCACCACATCAGTGCCACTTAGGTATTGGCGTTTATTGGAAAAACACCACCCTCTTGTTGTGCATGAAACCACTGTTTGGTTTCAGCATTTATCAAATAAACATTAAAAATCAGAAACACTTGGATTTATGTGCTTGAGTCATTGGGGGAAACTTCAAATTCTGGTTTCTCTCAACGCCCCAACATTTATTGAAATGAAATGCTTACCTGGAGCATTGTAAGCTGAGGTGGAAGATAGCTTTATGGGGGCGTTACTTGAAACACCCATGGAACACCAAACCAAACAACAAAAGCAATAAATGTTAAGCTGAGGTGGAAGATAGCTTTATGGGGTGTTACTTGAAACGCCCAACCAAACAACAAAAGCAATAACATTAATGTTTATTGTAAACACCCATGGAATCAAACACATGCTTAGTTTTTTGTAAACATGCAATATTAATCCTTCTCTTCATTGTGTTTACTACTTCTATAGTCTTTCTTGCTAATGCTTCCACATTCGAAGTGTTTATTAATCCAATTCATGTTTATTGGACTTATCCTCTTTACCTGCCCTTGCCCAAAAGGATGTAGGAACCCTTGTGCTTTTTTCACCACAACCTGGTGTAACTATGATGTGTCACTTCTTTGGAATGTTCTAACCCTTGCCCATTTTTTTTGATGAGTAACTGAACTTTTATTAAAAAGTTAAATACCCTTGCCCATTTGACACCACACTTGGGTTAAGGTGTAGCTTGTTGCTTCTAGGGAATGCCCAAGAATAAGCACAAAAAGACAATTCTGGATGCATGACCATAAGAGTTTGGCAAAAATTTTAATTCTGGCTACAACTTAATGCAATTCTCCTTTATCCCAGCTTGGGATTGGTGGTGTAAGACAATCTCACACTAGTGAAATTAAGCATCAATAATTTAACAATGAATATTGATAAAAAAATTAACAATGGATATGGCATTAAACAGAGCAGAATGGTAAACCAGGATTTATGTAGCTGATGACCCCATATAGTTGGGATAAGGCATGTATGATGACTTGTATCATGGCCTGAAATTTCTTATGTTATGTATAGTTAGTCAATTTATGCATTTGTGTAGGATGACTCACTTGGAGGTACTGTAAAGGATTGTTTGGTACCTAGTCACTGGGGAGGGAATTTTATTTAATAATCATGGGCATCTTCGTATTGATGCATATTGTTAGAATGCTCGAGTCAGGGGTATTTTGGTCATTCTGGTGTATCTTATTGAAAGTGAAATGTCTATTGTATCTGAGTTTAAGTTATGTGTCCCMTCTTCTATGAGGGACAAAATTGTCTTTCTTGTAACTCATGTTTTTCATGAATAAAAGTCAAGTGGGTCGGCTAGGAGAGGTACTTTTGTATATCCTCTCTTCTAGTCTGGCCGAA